TGAAGTGAAAATCTGTAAAATCAAATTCATGTTATCTATCACGTATCCAAGGAGTATTCCAACATTTCATGCTACTAGATCATTCTTTTGACTCAATAATAATCTTTCTAGTGTCTTTTGATATCAATCAATCTAATTGATTTAATTTTTCATGCATGCAATATGATGTAAGAAATTTGTAAATTAGATAGTTCTGACAGTTCTATTTTTTGTTTTCAGTTCTGTTTTTAGCAACAATAAATTTGTCAAAAATAAATCAAAACTATCCTTTTTATAGCTGTAATTTCGAATTTCAGTAATATATGTCTAGGGGATTGAAATGTGAGAAAAAGGTCTCTAGAATTTCAAATTTTGGGCTGTTTTTTGTCTGCTATTTTTGACAGTCTGTTGTTCTTGACAGAAAACCAGAAAATAGATGTTGCAGTTTTTTCAAATTTTATTTTATTTTTTATTTTTTCAGTTGCTGTTCTAATGCAAACACATGTTCTTAATCGTCCTATAGCATAAATTAATAATGAATACTTCACCCCCCAACTTAAAAATGACATTGTCCTCAATGACAGAGAAAACTCGAAACAGAATATACAGAAAATATAATTTTCAAGTGAAGCATGCATATATGCAAAGTTTAGCATTAAAAATGTTGTCATAAATGATAAAGCTCCGAAAGACATCACCTCAACCTCATTTTTAATTTTCCACTTCGTCTTACACGCCTCTTCCTGCACTTTTTCGAAAAAACAAATAAAGAAACAAGTACTGCAAAATTCTAAGAAAAACAGAGCTTAAAAAAAATTCAAACAAAATGAAATAAAAACCATGGGTTGCCTCCCATACAGCACTGAATTTAATGTCTCCAACTGGACTCCTTGATCTTACTCTTGAATTTCTTTTAATAATAAAATTTCTTTTTCTGCAAGGCGTTCATGTTCTATGTAATGTTTAAGCCGCTGTCCATTTACCTTAAAGTTATGATCACTTTTAGGATCTTTAATCATTACAGCCCCATGATCATATGTCTCTTCCACCACATAAGGCCCTTTCCATTTTGATTTTAATTTTCCTGAGAATAATTTCAGCCTAGAATCATATAACCACACTTTTTGTCCAACATCAAATTTTTTTCTGCTAATGTATTTATCATGAAAAGTTTTAGTTTTTTCTTTATATATTCTATGATTTTCATAAGCTTTATTCCTCAACTCCTCTAGTTCATGTAGCTGAAAAATTCTATGCCCACCAGCTGATTTTTCATCCATACATAAATTTTTTATAGCCCATAATGCTTTATGCTCTATTTCCACAGGAAGATGACATGGCTTTCCAAAAATGAGACGAAATGGGGACATACCTATGGGATTTTTATAAGCTGTTCTATAAGCCCATAATGCATCTTGTAATTTCGTGGGCCAATCTTTCCTATCTGGTCTAACTATTTTTCTCAAAATTCTCTGAATTTCCCTATTTGCTACTTCAGCTTGCCCATTTGTTTGGGGATGATATGGAATGGCTACTCTATGGTGTACTCCATTTTTTTTCAACAGTTCCCTGAAATTTTTATTTGTAAAATATGTTCCTCCATCACTAATAATCACTCTAGGACATCCAAATCTCGAAAAAATATTTTCCTGCACAAATTTCATCACGATTTTATGATCATTAGTTCTAGTAGGAATAGCTTCCACCCACTTCGACACATAATCAACAGCAAGTAAAATATATTCAAATTTTTCTGCTGATGGGAAGGGACCCATGAAATCTATTCCCCATACATCAAAATTTTTGACTACTAACATGTTACTCATGGGCATTTCATTTTTTTTACTCATGTTATCTATAGATTGGCATGAAATACATGTTCTACTAAATTCTATAGAATCTCTAATGATTGTAGGCCAATAAAAACCACATTGAAAATTTTTTGCAGCTGTTTTTCATCTAGAGAAATGTCCTCCACAGTTAGATGAATGGCACATGTTAATAATGCTATGGTATTCTTCTTTAGGAACACATCTCCTTAAAATTTGATCATTGCCCAAGTAATATAAATCAGGATCATGCCAAAAATAATTTCTAATCTTAGAAAAGAAATGATGTTTTCTGTTCTTATCTCACTATTCTGGAGTTTTTCCAGAAACCAGAAAATTAACAATATGTGCATACTATGGTGATGGTTGATGTTGAGCTGCCATCAATTGTTCATCTGGAAATGCGTCTTGTAAAGGTGCTGCATTTATTCCTATATCACTTAATCTAGAAAGATGGTCAGCAACAGCATTCTCGAAACCTTTTTTATCTTTTATTTCTAAGTCAAATTCCTACAACAATAAAATCCATCTTAATAAACGTGGCTTTGCATCTTTCTTATTTAACAGATATTTTAATGCTGCATGATCAGTATAAATAATAATTTTAGCTCCCAAAATATATGATCTAAACCTTTCTAACAAAAATACTATAGCTAACAATTCTTTTTCAGTCGTGGTATAATTTAATTGAGCATCGGATATAGTTTTACTAGCATATGAAATTACTATGGGTTTTGACTCTTTTGTTTGTCCTAGAACGGCCCCCACTGCATAATTTGATGCATCACACATTATTTCAAAGGGAAGGGACCAATCAGGAGCTTGTAAAATGGGTGCCTCAGTAAGTAATCTTTTTATTTCGGAAAAAGACTCAAAACATTTCTCATCAAAATTAAAAGGCACATCTTTAGATAATAGCATGGTGAGAGGTTTAGAAATTTTCAAAAAATCTTGAATAAATTTTCTGTAATAACCTATATGACCCAAGAAAGATCTAATCTATTTTACTGAATTTGGAGGTTTCATTTTAGATATAATATCAATTTTTGCTCTATCCACCTCTAAACCCCTTTCTCTCACAATATGACCCAACAGAACTCCCTCTCTAACCATAAAATGTGATTTCTCCCAACTCAAAACTAATTTTTTCTCTATGCATTTTTCAAGTACATGCTGTAAATGATTTAAGCATTCATCAAATGATTCACCAAAAATAGAAAAATCGTCCATAAAAATTTCCATACATTTTCCAATCATATCAGAAAAAATAGATAGCATACATCTTTGAAATGTGGCTGGAGCATTACACAGACCAAAAGGCATGCGTTTAAAAGCAAAAGTACCAAATGGACAAGTGAAAGTTGTTTTTTCTTGATCTAAAGGGTTTATATAAATTTGATTATAACCAGAGTATCCATCCAGAAAACAAAAAAAGTTTTTTCCAACTAATTTTTCTAGAATTTGATCAGTAAATGGTAGGGGAAAATGATCTTTTCTAGTAACTGAATTTAATTTTCTATAATCAATGCAAACTCTCCAACCAGTAGTTAATCTTGTTTGTATTTCATCTCCATTTTCGTTTTTTATAACCGTGATCCCTGATTTTTTTGGCACCACTTGTCTAGGACTAACCCATTTGCTATCTGAAATAGGATAAATAATATCAGCAGCCAGCCACTTTAAAATTTCTTTTTTTACAATTTCCATCATATTAGAATTTAATCTTCGTTGTGGTTCCTTGCTAGTTCTAGCCCCCTCCTCTAGATATATACTATGCATGCATACACTCATATCAATGCCCCTTAGATCATCTATTTTCCAGCCCATAGCCTTCTTATTTTTTCGAAGTACATCTAATAATTCTTCTTCCTGTTCATCACTCAAATCAGCTACAATAATAACAGGAAATGAATTATTTTCCTCCAAGAACATATATTTTAAACTAGAGTGAAGAGGTTTCAACTCTAAATTCAGATAATCTTCCTCTTTCTTTTCTTCTAAATTTATATTCTCTATTTCCTCTAATTCTTCCAGCACACAGTCATCAATAACATCTGGATCATCAAAATTATCTAGAAGATCTATGGTATGACAATTATATACTTGGGATTTCTTAAGATCATTTGATACCTCAAAAATTTTAATTTCTACTGATTGATCTCCACATGAAATTTTCACAATACCTGTGGGAAAAACAACATTCATCTTTGCTGTATGCAAAAATGGTCTCCCTAGGATGATTGACGTATCATAAAACTGTCCATTAAAATCCATTTCCAGCATTACAAAATCAGCTAGAAATTTACACCCTTTAACTATCACTATCACATTTTCTAAAATACCTTTAGGATGTTTTATGGATCTATCAGCAAATTGTAAGGTAACAGTAGAAGGTTTAAGATCAAAAATATTAAATTTATCACAAATACTTACAAGTAATAAATTAATACTAGCACCGGTGTCAAGTAATGCATTCTGAAAAATGAATCCACCAATATCACACAAAATTAAAGGGGCACCTGTATCTCTCAATTTATATGGTAATTAATTTAATAATAATGCACTAGCATGCATAGATAATTTTTCTACTCTAGGTGGCCTTTTTGGTGTACACATTTCTTTCAAAACTCTAGCATATTTAGGAATATGTTCAATGGCAGTGAGTAAAGGAAGACTAATTTGCACATCTTGTAAAATTTTCTTTATTTCTTCATTGTGTTCCTTTTTCTTTCTTTGTCTAGGCTCTAGAGCTTTAGGAAATGGAATGGTCATCCTCTCTTTCGAAATTTCCTTGGTAGAATCTATAAAATCCTCTTCTACTCCTATTTGATTTTGTTTTGGTTTGTCCACATTTTCTTTTTCTTCTAATTTTTGGGGATAAGGATCAGGTAAGATCTTACCACTCCTTAATGCATTCACTGTCCTAACATTTTCATTTCGTGGGTTTTTTCCTAGATTCATGCTATTAGACTCCCCTTGCTGAAATCCTATTGTTGGGCGATTCCTTGGATTTTCTATGGGCTGACTAGGTAGCTGTCCCTCTTCTCTCTTATTCTCAAGAGCCTCTATAATTTGTTTCTAGTGCAGCATCATTTGATTCATAGTTTGTTGCATCATTTGGCTCATTTGCTGCATCATTTCTATAGCATCAGGTTGGATTTGAGAGGGCTGATTTTTCTGAAATCATTTTTCTTATTTTGAACGAAATTTAGAGTTTGAATTGGGTCTAAGTGCTTCTGGATTTTGAATATTATTTGGGTCTCTCCATGAAAAATTATTCCTCCAATTAGGATTATAAGAATTTGAAAAAGGTTCCCTATTTCTATTAAAACCGTGAGCTACTTGCACTTGTTCTTGCATAGGGTGAAATGATTGATCTAAATTATAACATTGAAATTTAGAATAATCATTTTCACCATACATAGGACATATACTATTCGAATTAAGTTGAGGGTTAAAAAGCTTTCTAATATTGTCAATAAGTAAATCATTTTTTTCTAATCTTTGATTAATCTGATTAACCTCATTTCTAAATTTAGAATCATCATCATGATGCAATTCATAAATTCCTCTCTTCTTATCCCTGTCATATAATTCAAAAGAGGCTTGATCTCTAGAATTTTCACTTAAATTCTCATAAAGACTGTAAATCTCATCAGGGGTTTTCTCCATAAAAGCTCCTCCACATATAGAATCAACCATATTTCTATGTTGTTCTAATAATCCATCATAAAAAATTCTATTGAGCTGCCACTTGGGTATAGCATGATGAGGACACTTTCTAAGTAAATCTTTGAATGTTTCCCATGTTTCATGTAAAGTTTCTCTTGGACTTTGAGAAAAACTCCATATATGTTTTCTCATATTTTGAGTTTTTCCTAAGGGATAAATTTTTTGAAGAAAGGCATGTTCTATGTCTTTCCAGCTAGTTAATTCTCTATCTAATGTAGATAGCCAATGACTAGCTTTGTCCCTAAGTGTATGAGGGAATAATTTCATCTTAATAATTTCCGATGTAACTTGAGGGAGATTAACTAAATCACAGACTATATAAAAATTTTCTAAGTGCTGATGAGGTTCCTCTAAAGACAATCCATGAAAATTAGGGAGCATTTGAAAAATTTCTGGATTTATTTCGAATTTAACGGTGGGTGCTAATGGGACTATAATATTGGATGCTCTTTGAAATGAATATGGGATATAATGATTTTTCATGGCCATAAGATTGCTCTTAGTTTGACCTATACTTCTTTCAAGATCCATTAAAATTTATTTTTCTTTCGGATTTTTAGTTTTGAATGAAATAATGAAAGGATTTTCTAGCCTTGGATGCAAGGATCTTCTACCATGCATAAAAAATCAATAAATTCGAGAGAAAAGTTTAGTAATTGTTACCCTCCTTCAGTATGCTCCAATCCTTGCCTTTCTTCTTTTCATTCCCTTTTTCTTACAAAAAATCGGCAAAAAGAAAATAAAACAAGAGTTAAATTTTTTTGTGTACTCTAAGAGAAAAACAGAAAAACACTAAATATTATGCAATAGATTGCCGGCAATGGCGCCAAAATTTGATGTGACTTAGTCGTTGTATATTAAATCACGCAAATATAAAATTTATAAAACTAGAAAATACGAATTTTTGGATATTTAGAAGTATTTCTGAACAAATATATCAATTATAATTCAATAAAACTTCTAAAAATAGCAGTAATTTTCCAGGTCGATCACAGGGATTTAATATTGTAATTATTCAGAATTTTCCTCAAAGAATAATATTTTATATGAATTTTATACTAAGAAATGAAAAGGAAATATATTTATAATTCACGAAAAAAGGAAATAACAATGTGGGCGTCAAGATGGCATCAGCACCCGGCGAACGCGAATCGGGTGGAAACAGAGTTCTGCCCGGCGATTCTTACGTAAGCAATTACAGACGATTTAATTGATCAAATTAAGATCTGTAAAAGACGGAAGAATCGTAATGAAATAAAGTATATGTTGGTAAATTCAAAATCAACAAATTATCACAAAATGAAACGCAAATGAAGTTGAAAGCAGGAAAACAGAGTTCTGGCGTCGCGACGGCGATGCGTCGGTGATGCGTCGGCGATGCACCAGAATCCTGAGCGTTCGGGAGGATCATCGTGCAGTGTCCACAGCCTCGAAGGCTCTCCTTGGACAAAGACGACGTGGGCAATCTCTAGATCTTCTCGTGAAGTCTAGAGATTAATGAAATGGGTCGTCGAGTCGTCTCCGGCGGCTGTCACCTGGCGGAGCGGAAAAACAGCGACTTTGCAGCTCTTCAGCGGCTGCCACCCGACGGAGAGGAGCTGGATGGAGGTGAGGCGCGTGTTAGGGAGCTTCATCCTCAGGTCCGCACAGCAAGAGGAGGCTCTTCATCGCATCTGGTACGCTCTCAAGAGGTGACGACTCGTCTCCCGGCGGATCGTCCTCTTCCCGATGACAGCTTGTTCGTCGATCAATCGGAGATGATTTACTTGATGGATTCGCAATCCTTTTATCGCGAATTATTCAGCAATTTTAGTAGCAATGCTCTGCGAATCGCGTTGACGAGATTTTCGCCGATGATCTAGCGATTCTCGTTGCTTAATCCTTCACCGGCGATCTGTAGGAAAGTCACGATAATCAGATGAAAATATATGAATTTTGACTCTGGGAGGATTCGAACCCACGCCGGTTGTCTGCCCCTTCTGAGGAAGGTGTGACGTGGGTTTAGTCTCACATCAGTTGTGCGCAGATTTTTCGGGCAAATATATAGTAATGTTACATTTGTAAGCGAAGTTCCTTCTCTCGCGTGTACGACCACTCCTTGCCCCATAGCCAACTGGCCACCGGTGACGTGGAAGGGGAGTGGCGCACACGTGCCCCTATCGGTGCAAGCCGCTCGAGCCCTTGCTCGCGGCTACTCCTCGATTGAGCTTCCGACCTGCTTGTGGGCCCGGCTGGCCGGCGGGTCCCCCCCATTTTGCAATATTTTAGTTTTATTTCTTTTTCTTCATTTATCTCAAAAGTAAGACTGTAAAAATCATATAAATTCGTATAAAATCACATAATTACCCAAAAAATCACATTAATCAACTGAAAACCACTTTTCACACTTTAACATAAATATAAGTCCATTTATCACGAGTTAAGGCTAAAACTATATTATTTACTAATTATTAACTCATGATAATGAGGACTTATCAAGGAGCAATCTTCAAGTATCCAATAAGCACCTTTGACAAGTCTTGTGATATAGTCTTGACAAGTCTTCATTATCATGAGTTAATAATTAATTAATAATATAATTTTAGCTTTAACTCATGATAAATAAATTTATATTTGTGTTAAATTATGAAAACTAGTTTTTAGTTAGTTAATGTGAATTTTTGGCTAATTATAGGATTTTATACAAGTTTATATGATTTTTATAATCCTATTTTTTAGATAAATGAAGAAAAATAAAATAGAATTAAAAGATAAAAAAAGGGAGGAACTTGCTGGCTAGTTGGGCCCACAAGCAAGTCAGAAGCATAGTTAGGTGGAGCTGTGAATAAGGGATCAAATGGCTAAGGACAAACCGATAAGGGAAACATGTGCGTCACTCCCCTTTCACGTCACTAATGGCGAGTCGAGTGTGAGGCAAAGAGTGGTTGTACATACATGAGAAAGGGACTCATTACTTACCAAATCTCGTATTACTAAATATTTATCTCAAAATTTGATATATAACTAATGTGAGACTAAATTGGCGATCATAGCTTCTTTGAAATATTTTAATGATTTTTGTACCTCAAATACCCCTTCTTTATCAGAAAGAGGTACCATAATGATGTCACTTTATAATGATATTTGTGTACTTATTTCACTCTCTCTCTCATACAAGTGGATGACCAGTGAGAGTTCAAATCTTATGAGAGCCAAAAGTTATATTTTTATCTAAATAAATCGTGATTTTTCTATAGATTTCTACTAAATGATTAAGTTGCTAGAATTACTTAATTTCAATAAATTTTTTATCAATGTGATTCGTGGGGCATCATTACTAAAATTACTAAATGATTATGAATAAAAGGATCATGAATTCATCGAGTAAATTATCTTTGATTGATTGACGAATAAGCCATCATTGAGAAGAGGATGATCTATTGGGAAACAAGTCGCCACCTCTTGAGAACATATTAGATACGATGAAGGGCCTCCTCTTATTGCATGGACATGAAGATGAAGCTCCCTAAGACATGTCCCACCTCCATTTAGCTCATCTCTATTAAGTGACAATCATTAGAGAGTTATAAAGTCATTATTTTTCTACTTTGCAGAATGACATTCGCTGAAGACGATTCAACGACCTACTTCATTAATTTTTAGACTTTGTAAGAAAATCTAGAGATTGTCCACATCATCCTTGTTTAAGAAGAACCTTTAAGATTGTGAACATTGCACAACAATCCTTTCGAACGCTTAAGATTTTAACGTATCGTCAACACATCGTCGTTGCAACGTTGAAATTCTATTTTACAATTTTTTTAACTGATTTAACTTTCATCATAATTTTCTAGACTTCAAAAGGAGATCTAATAAATTTTTAAGTTATTCATGTCTAAAGAGAGCCCTTGAGGTCATGGACATTGCACAATAACCATTTCGAATACAGAATTTTAACAATCACTATTGGGAGGCCTGAACACTATCTTTCTTACTTTTAACTTAATTTTTATTTAATTTAGTGATACTTTGTGTGATTTAATGTTTCTAAAATTTTCTTCATTTAATTATGATGTTTTTGGCTTTTATAGATTTTAATTTGACCTATTAAATCATTTGTAATCACTTACGTAAGGATCATTAAGTGGAGCTCTATTTTGCCCGATTCGCTTTTGGCAAGTGCTGACATCATCCTTGTGTCCATACCCTTATTTCTCTTTTTCATAAACTTTAAATAATTTTTATTTTTATTTTTCAGTCTAAAATTTACAAAAAATTATATTTTTTGAAGAAAATTCTGAAATATTATTTAATCTCTGTGATCCACCTAAAAAATTATCATTATTTTTCTAACTTTTATTGAATTATCATTGATATATTTGTTCAAAAATAATTCTAAATATCAAAAAATTAGTATTTTATAATTTTATAAGTTTGAAATTTACGTGATTTATTATATAACAACTAAGTGACATCAAGTCTCTTTCATTAGTTTTTAGTATCATTATGCGAAGAAGACAAAAAAATGAAATATTAAGCTTCATCTTCTTTATCATAATTTTGGACATACAATAAGTTAACATCATCTTCAAAAATCTACTAATGATGTCATTTTTCATATTTATCATAAGATCAATTCATCATTGAAATCTTATTTAATCTCTTAAGAGAGTTGAATGAATTAATCAATTATTGGTGACCTAGATTTCTAAATCCAAAAAGAAATTTTTGAAAAACTTTTTAAGAGAGTTAAACATAGTAATCAACATTTTGTGATCAAATAATCATATTGAGTAAAATCCAAGAATAAAGATTATTTTTAAGCAATGGACATAAATAGTGAGTAGAACCATTTGAAAATCCGTTAGTCTTTCAATTATTAATCTAGGAAAACATTATGACTTGAGAAGTTAAAGGGAACGTTGATTCATCTAAAGACATCTTATTTAAAAATGATTATAAATTGATGAATTAAATTCTCCTTCTTGATGTAAATGCAGCCTAAAATCCAACAAAATCGATTGAGCTAATTTTGATTTTTACGAGTTTCAATATTTTTAGATATTTGTGTCTATATTTTATCAAAGTTTGAAAGAAAGAAGTAAATAGTCTTGTAGCTGTATGAGAAATATTTACTTGAAATGAAGAATTGAGAGATGTGAAATCAAGCCATTTGTTTGACCATTGGAATAGTAGCATTCTGTGGCAGCTGGTGTGGGATCTCTAAATAGAGAACACTAAGAGGAATAAGGTATTTTTATGCTCTGATTAATCAATCTTATAAAATCTACAATTACACTTAAAATGATTTAATTTCATAAGAATCCAAAGTTGAATTGACTACGAGCTTACTATTACCATCTCCCAATTAGTGCTCACATTATTTGTTGAAGCTTTTTGTTTAGGAAGGTCACTTGGCTGTATAAGATTTGATTGGTAGTTTAGATAATTCTATTCTATAGAGATTTAGGAAAAACTTAGTTGAAATATAGTTTAGAGAGCCATAATTGGTGGATTAGCTCTAGGATTGACCAAACAATTCATAAAATTCTTTCTATCTCCTTCTATGGCATGTAGAATCGTATTTTCTCACAAGTTATTTTCACTAGCATTCCTTTACCCAATAGATTGTTTCTCCTTCTTAGTCAATATTACCATTCTTACATTGCCCTGGTTCCCTTTACAACTTAGTTTTAGGTACAAGCCACTTGCTTTTGGGTTTAAAGCATGGAGCAATCTTCCTTCCATACCTTCATTGTGGCACTGTCACAAACTATCAAAGTGTAGCAAGATTTTACCCATTAACCACATCAAAGAAAAATCACAATTTTCAATTTAAAATCATAAAAGTTTCTGGGAGGGTTTATGTGATTGATCTAAATATGCTTACTTTAATTAATGGAAATATAGTTTTTTTTTAAAATAACTTAACATTTAAATTAATTTTTTAAATAATCACATACACAATTTTCACCGACCTGGTTTCTAGTTGGAACTCATTTGAGGCGTGAGATGATCAATAAAAGTTTGCCCTAGATTTCCAGGTTGAGAAGATGTAGACATATTTGGTGGGTACCTTGCATAATAGACTCATTGTACTAAGTACTCTTACAAGGACAGGCGGGCTAATCCGCAGTGAGAAGTCAAGCTCAGAGCGTCAGTGTATTGACCATGAGTTTTCGATTACTGAAAAATAAGGAAAATCCTTATTTTCCGTATGAGTCGAGAGGACCCGGAGAAGACAGCCTTCGTTCGGCCTAAAGAAAGGAAAAAAACCCGTTGACGAGTTGACCACAAGTCTTCTGGAACTGTCTCAAGGTTTGCTTTCAAGGAGAGAGAGAGAGAGGTGGAAGAGCCTTTAATGCCTAGCCCACCGACCTCTCAGAAGAGTGGTCTATCCAACCACGCGGGAAGTCGGCGTTGAAGCTTCCTCGTTCACAGAGTCTTATACCCCACTACCCAACAGTCAAAGTCAACTGGCCGCATGACCCCCGGGATTTCGCGTCTCTGCAACCTGCGGGCGATGGGGATGCACTAGACCTCCTGTAGATGATCTCGCCGAAGAGAGGAAAGGGGCGATGGTGCCGATCTCCCTCTCCCTCTTCCTCATCTTCCTCTCCTCGATCCTTCTGCGGCCGCTCGACGGCGCCGGCGACCGGTTGCGGGCGGGGGAGTCATCGGGGTTGAACCAGACGATCGTCTCCGCCGGCCGGATCTTCGCGCTCGGGTTCTTCTCTCCGGGGAACTCCTCCGGCGACTGGTACGCCGGAATATGGTACAACAATCTTCCTACGAAGACTGTGGTGTGGGTCGCAAACCGGGAAGCCCCCCTCAGGGACCCCGGCGGCGCCGCCATCGGCGTCACCAGGGAGGGGAACCTCGCCGTGCGGGACGGACGAGGAAGGTCGCTCTGGTCCACCAACCTCACTAGGGATCCGGATAACAGCACAGGAGCGGCGGTGGCGGTTCTCCTGGACTCCGGCAACCTCGTCCTCCGCCGCTGGGACACCGCCAGCGACCCCCCTCTCTGGCAGAGCTTCGATCACCCCACCCACACCCTCCTCCCGGGGATGAAGCTCCGATTGAACTTCACCAGCGGCGAAGCCACGCGACTGAGGTCGTGGAGGGGCGCCGCCGATCCCTCCGCCGGCGACTTCGTCTTCACCCTGGAGGGCCGCTGGGGCCTAGAACCATACGTCTTCAAAGGCGAGGAGATCCACTGGCGAGGGCCAATGTGGCTGGGCATCCCCCTCTTCCCCTTGCAGCTGGGGGACGTCAATTCCCGCTATCTCCAGTCCGTATATGCCACCGATCAGGAGATCTACTACAACTACTCCATGATTGAGAGCTCCCTGCTCGTGAGGTACGTCCTGGACCACTCCGGCACCTACAGCTTCCGCGTGTGGGACGACGGCGCCGCCGCCTGGAACTCGATAGGGACGACGCCGACGAGGCCCTGCGATTTTTTCAACCTTTGCGGCGGCGCCGCCTCCTGCGACTCCAGTGGGCAGTCCCCTCTCTGCCGGTGCCTCAATGGGTTCGACCCCAGCGCGCCGGAGGAGTGGGCAAAGGGCAACTTCACCGGCGGCTGCGTGCGGCGGCGCCGCCTCCTCTGCGACGGCACCGACAGGTACACGAAGATCGGCGGGCTGAAGCTGCCGGACCGCTACTCCGTGGCTTGGAACCTCAGCCTGAGCCAGTGCGAGGCCTCCTGCTCCGCCGCCTGCAACTGCAGCGCCTTCTCCCACACCAACTTCAGCACCTTCAACCTGACGGGGTCCCGCTGCTTGACCTGGTTCGGAGACATGGTGGATCTCGTTCAGATCCCCCTCCTCTCGCAGGACCTCTACGTCCGTCTCTCTGCTGCACAACTCGGTACGCCCCGTTTTCTCGGAAAAGCTCAATCTTTTTCAATCAAACAAACCAGAAAGAACGAAATCTATGGATTCGGCATCCACGCTTCGTCCTGCAGATGGGGATCCTCCAGCGGATGATTCCCCCTCGGGGAAGAACCAGGCGGTGATCAGGATCGCACTGCCCATCGCAGTATCCACCGGCGTGCTTCTCATGGGGGCTTGCTGCTACTGCGCGGCGAGGAAGCTCAAGTCGCGAGGTAAACCCCTCCGCCGCTCGGCGGACGAGGATGAAGAAGAACACAGAGTTCACTGTCTGCTTCTGGAAAAGCAGGGAAGAGTGACGGGGGAAATCTTCTGCGACTGGAAGAAATAAGGCTCAACGATGCGCTTGGGAGCGAGAAAGGCGTGCCCATGGTGGACTTGAAGAGCGTGAGGGCCGCCACTGAGAACTTCTCCATCTCGAACCAGTTGGGGGAGGGGGGATTCGGCGCCGTCTACAAGGTTAGCCATTGATCCGGTTATCTTTTCGCCCATGCTTCAAGCGCTCCATCATCAGAGGTCGCTCACGGTGGAAGAGAGAGAGTTCTGGGTTGCAGGGGAAGCTGAAGAGCGGGGAGGCGGTGGCGGTAAAGCGGCTATCCAGGGCCTCCAAGCAGGGCTGCGAGGAGTTCGCCAACGAGGTTCTGCTCATCGCCAAGCTCCAGCACAGAAACCTCGTCCGCCTGCTCGGCTGGTGCTCCCATGGCGACGAGAGGATCCTCATCTACGAGTTCATGCCCAACAAGAGCTTGGATCACATCATCTTCGGTGGGTTGCTTCTTCCTCCCCGCAAGAACCCTAACCGCAAGACCTTCGATGTCATCATTTCACCTGCAATCTCTTCTTCTTCTTTCTCAGATTCGACGAGATCGGCGGAGCTGAGCTGGGAGAGGCGCTTCGGGATCATCCGGGGGGTGGCGGACGGGCTCCTTTACCTCCACCAGCACTCGCGGATGCGCGTGATTCATAGAGACATGAAGACGAACAACATCCTCCTCGACGGCGAGATGAATCCTAAGATCTCCGATTTCGGGCTGGCCAGGATCTTCGAGATGAACCAGATGGAGGCCAACACCGCGAGGGTCGTCGGAACATAGTAAGAATCATACCCAGATCCCCGAGCTTCCATTTCTCCATCCCTCCTCCTCCGGTGACCTAACCCTCTCCGATCTGCAGCGGCTACATGTCGCCGGAGTACGCCATGGACGGCGTTTTTTCGGAGAAATCGGACGTGTTCAGCTTCGGCGTGATCGTCCTGGAGATCGTCACTGGGAAGCGGAGCACGGGCTTCTACCACTACAAGAACTCCCTGAACCTCCTCGGCTATGTGAGTAACGGCGGCGCCGCCTTCCTCTTCCTTCCCCGCCGCTGCTGATCCTCCTCTCTGAAACTGGCGGAGTCTAGTGCAGGCTTGGCAGATATGGGAGGAAGGCAGAGCTCTGGAGCTGCTCGACCCCACAGTGGACAGCCGCTTCGAAGCCGGCGATGTGGTCAAATGCATACACCTCGGCCTGCTGTGCATTCAGGAATACGCCGCCGACAGACCCACCATGGCCGCCGTCGTCTCCTGCCTCGCCGGCGAGGGCGGCTGCGGCTCCCTCGCCGCTCCAAAGCAGCCGGCTTTCGCCATTGGTAGGGAATCTAACCCCCTTCTCCCTCTGTCAATCCACCACAGATCAGAAGGAAGAAGCTGAGTTAATCTAATCTAACCCCCTTGTCCTGTGCGGGTTTTTTAATGATTTAAATGGTGGGCCCGGAAAGTCCGGAACGTGGCTCGGCCCGAATTTTCCCCGGCGTGGGCCTGATAATCATCCATCGGTGGGTAAAACGGGCCCGGTCCCCTGTCTGGCAGCGTCTCTTTCGAGTCTTGAGCCCACACGTGTCTGATAGATGAGGGCCCGTGTTGAGGTTGGGTCCGTGAGAATGGAATTTGGGTTGGCCAACTGTTATATAACTAAGTCGGGCTCGACGATTTACGGGCCGGGCCTGTCCAGGCCGGGCTCCATGGCCCGAGTTAGTTTAAATTAAATAGTATGAAAACTCGTAAAGCGGATCGCTTTTTTTTGTTGGACAAATTAATGGTTCATTTAAATTAATATTTTAATTTAGCGCCACCTCTGTCTCTCTTGCTCTCTTGCTCTCTCTCCTTCTCTCTCTTCTTCTCTCACCTCTTCTTATCTCTCTTCTTCTCTCTTCCTCTCTCTCTTTCTCTCTCTTCTGCTCTCTCTTGTCCCCGCGCCGCCTTCTAGCGATAAACGGCGCTGGCTGAATGCTCCAGACTGGTTGTAGACTGCATTTCCCTCTCTCTCTCTCTCTCTTGCTCTCTTGCTATAAGAGCGAAGGAGCAGTCAATAAGATTAATTATGACAGGATCGTTGGGACAGATGCTGGTAATGTAGTCTGGGCTTGTTCGAGGATCGGATGGGTCGGAGTAGATCCTCGTCTGACCAATGGGGGTGGATCCGACTGTTCGACCAGCTGAAGCGCCTGAAGTGGCTGGCACTCGTCGTCGCCGCTCTCGTCCTCATGTCTTGCGGCCTGCGGGACCGGCAGACGCTCGTCCGTGAGCATGACGTGAGTCAATCAATCCTCGCCTCATTTCTCCCAATTATCTTTGTCCACTCTCCCATCTCGTCACCGGTTTTAGATTGATTATCTTCTTTCCATGTTTTAGGTTTTCGGCCTTCACTTTCGCCGATTGCAGAAATTTCGAAGAAAAACGCTCTCGATCTATGTATGCTCAATGTCGTACTTCTCGGTATGCTAACGTTGCGTATACTACACGACTGATCTTCGATCGATGCTCTGCCGATTCTTGGGAGAAATCACCACTTTTATCAATATAATGTCCTTCTCTATAGCCGCAAGTAATACCTACCATTCATGCTATTGCATATTGAACTCGGTTTGCTGCTTGCTACGCAGGAAGAAATTTCAAGATTGAATGTTGAACTGTCGTCCCTGCAAAATAAGGTACGCGAGCCTTTTCCAGTCTTGAAGAAATTCACCCTGATTTTATATCATACAAAAGAAACCATCGGGAGATGCAGTTTGGGTTTTCCTAGGAAGATTCATTCGCTTCCACCTGTAAAACAAATATAATTAGCATGCGGATTAATAAGTATCTCTAAGATTTTAATGATTCGCCATATGCATGTAGGTGCGAAAATTGAGGGCTTTCTCATGGGATGCTTATGGGAGAATTGTTGAAAAATCACGAAAGGTTGCGGCGTTTGACGAGGATATTTATGTTGAACGAAGAGAAAAGGTGAAAGAAGCTATGCTTCATGCGTGGAACTCCTATGTTAAGTATGCTTGGGGCCAAGATGAACTTCAGGTTCGCTGAGGCTTGTTCTGCCATGTTTTCTCAAATGAAGAAGTTTATTCCCTAGAATGCTTTCGGCTTTCATCCAAATATGTCGTGCTTTCTTCTGGCCAGCCGCAGTCTATGGATGGAGTAAACAGCTTCGGTGGTCTTGGAGCAACCATTGTCGACTCGCTTGATACTCTTTACATTATGGGCCTACATGATGAGTTTCAGAAGGCTAGAGAGTAAGTCTCATAAAATTCACCTAGCCTAGTCAAATCCTATCCTATGGAAACTTGGGATTTGTGAAAATTAGGCCCATGATAACCTGATTATTTCTGATTAGTTGATTCTGAACCAGAATCGTGCCAAATCGTCACTACCTTATCTCAGTACGCTCTCTGATTTCAGTTATTAATCCTGTAAGCATAATGAAAATAATTAAGTGGAGTTTTAGTCAGTATGTGTTCTCTCAGTGTGACTTAAAAGCAATATGGATCGTGTTCAATGGCGTGTGTTTGTTACTTAGAAGCAAGGTGCCACTGTTGTTCTCTCCCACTAAGGTGGTCCGTTCCTTGGATTCATGCTTAGGTGGTGTCTAACGCTACACAACAATGGTACTAATATGGCAATAAAAAAGTAATCAACCTTTAGATCAGGGTGCGATTCAAGACAGGGGACTCATAAATGCAGCAAGACAATAGTTTTCAGACAAGTTGACCCTATAACCAACTCAAAACCCAAAATATTGACCTGTAGGTGGCGTCTAACGTTACTTAGGCAGACGCCATGACAAACACGTCGAGTAGGAAGGGCTGACCCTTGCGTATGCCAACCTTAGGTTGAATATTGTTACATTTGAGTAAGACAGTTTCTGCAAGCAGTATCTTGCTGTATTCATAGTCCGCTCGCTTGAATATGCTGCCAGACCGCAAGTTTTATTATTTTTTATTTCCATATTGTTGCCAGTGATGTAATGAAACCATATTTTGGTTTAGATATCTGTCAAATCCCGGAGGAAGATGGCTACAAGTTCTTTATGCAAGAAACATTTCACTCTCTGCATAGGAAATGGTCTCAAGAGCCATAGAATCATAGTAGTCTGTATTTAAGATGACATTAGCCTTGTTATTTATACTATTGCTCTCTGGAACTACTTGTTATCTGTTGCTGCTGGGCAGGTGGGTTGTAACCTCCTTGGATTTCAACCGGGACTATGAAGCTAGCGTCTTTGAGACTACCATAAGGTTGTGATTTGAGGTTAAGTTTATATGTTTATTTCATATCTTATAACATGATTGGTGGGCTTCTCTGGTATATCAGTTTTTCTTCTTTTAGACACTTCATAAATACCTTTTTGATCGAAAACCTTGACAACCCTTCGTTTTAGCTTGCTAGGTTGCTGGCATGGGTGACACGTCATAAAATCATAAAACATTTGCCACATAAACGTGTGCCTGCTGATAGAAAACTTTGGCCCATTTTTTTATCGAGTTCAACTGAATTCCAGGGTTGTTGGTGGTCTCTTAAGCGCATACGATCTCTCTGAAGACAAGATTTTTCTTGAGAAGGCTCAGAATATTGCAGATAGGCTGCTTCCTGCATGGGATACACCTTCCGGAATCCCCTATAACGTGATCAATTTGTCACATGGAAATGCAAAGAATTATGATTGGGCGGGGATAACATTCTCTTCTTTGCTTCCTTTTGTGGTCTTTAGTTGCCTTCACAATCAAATTGTTTACTCTTTTATCTGGTATTAATACCTGCCTTGGCTATCAAAATATTTGAAATGTCGTGAGAAATGGAGCGTTAAGCACTTCAGATTGGAATGAGGAATGTTATACTGGAACTTTTACCAATTTTGATGCGTTCATAGTTGTATTTATGAATCTTGGGACATTTTTTATTTTTTTCGGAAAATATCTAAATATAAATAATCTACTTACGATTTGGAAAGGACTTCTAAAGTCAATGATCTAGATTTTAAAAATTGACGATTTCAGTCTGGAGACTTAAAATCTTTCCCACCATGTATTTAAAGCTGGAAAAGCAGCTCTCATTTTCATCCTTGATCGGATTGGAAGCTAGAAATTTCTGTTTAAGCATTGTCCTTTCAAACAATTAATATAATGATGTGAAAAATAAATAAAAATAGAGAATATGAGTCAAGAGTTTTAGGTTATTTCCGTCTCTGAATTCAAATGCCCCATATTTGATTGTAAATTCTTTTGCAGATATTCTAAAAGTAGAGCCGTTTGGTAACTAGGCAATTATGGTAGGGAAAAAGAGAGAGTTGTGCATTCTTTTGTTGGTTCTTCTGAGCATAGACTTTCCTTTAGTGCATTATGATCAATGATGGAGTGAGCTTAGCGACCTTTAAATATACATACTCGGAAAAGCATAGAAAAGTTTAGAAACTTTTGAAATGAAACTTATGGCTTCCTTTATTGGGCTTATTCTTATTTTAATTTTGGATTTACTTAGCATTAAGAGGTGATAGAATTATTCGATGCATGGAGGCTCTTAATCATTTTCATGCCAGGGAGAGATGAGTGGGAGTACCAAATGAAAGAGCTGAGCACAGCTGATCGGTCGAAAATTTCCTGTCTTTGCTAAGACCAGCTTGCTCACTGATAACTTTGTAGTGGGCCATTTTTTTCTAATTTTTTTTTTCAAATTTAGTGGCTACCCTCTAAAACAGAACCACCTCAAAAATGTTCTGTCGCTTCATGATATGTTCATAGATGCCTAAAAATGTTTTTCGTTCGATAATACAACTCTGAAAAGTTCGTTGAGGATAAGGCTGAAAAGTCCTATGAAAAGTTTTCTGGGTGTATAACGCTGACTCTTGAGGATCTTATCATATGATGACTGTATACAATGCCAAAACTCCTCATGCTTCCCTAGAAATACGGATTAGTGGGCCACCATCATCTCCCTTCCCAGCTTTCCTTGAAAACAATTCATTGAATCAGTCTTATATGTGCCTTATGGAATGGCGAGAAGCTCTCATCATAAAGTCTCGGTCGGATTGTATCTTTTTCCCGGTCAGAGATAGCAAAATGTATTGGCTTGAATGAAAAAGTTGTTTGACTTTGAACAAATAGTCAGCATAATGGAGCTCATGGTGCCCCTGAGAATCAGCACGACTCATATGGGACTCGATACCAAGCGTAGTTTATTCTGATCATGAAGGCTTTGGTAGAAAATATAAGAAGCCATTGCATGGCAAGTTGCGGTGAAGGGGACGAACTTGGAAGAAAACATAGATATATAATGGATCGCTTTTGTATCAACGTGAAAGTCTTTCCTCGTCTTTAATGTGTTTTTCCCTTCAAAAGTTTGAATTAATTTTCACCTATCATTTCCAAGAAAATTTTCACAGAACATAGCATAACTTTTAATTTTTCCTCACAATGTTTTACACATTGTGCATTTTTATTTTATCAGGGTGATAGTATACTGGCAGATTCTGGCACCGAACAGCTTGAATTTATTGCTTTATCCCAGAGGACAAGAGATCCGAAATACCAGCAGAAGGTAGTTCTTTTCACCAATTGGTGTTTGTTATTATTTGTTTATGACGTTTTCTTATTGCTATTTCCTGGGGAAATGCCTCTTATAATTTCTTACATGCTACATTAGAAAAATTATTCAGCATGGCCACTGACTGAGGAAATTTTATACAGATATCCTCTATCTACACTAGATTAGTTTTAGTTTCAGGTTAGATTTCTGTTTCTGCATTGGTGGGAGGAAAAGAAAACCCTCTTCAGACGAGAAAGAGGCGAGCGAGGAATTTGATATGCCACAGGAAGGTCTTTGGTTATGTCACAACCACCAATTTCAGTGCAGTAAACCTGGGAATCTCTCTCCTGTCATCTTCCTTCTGGATTGAATGTGAGACGAGAATTTCCAACCAGAGTCCACACCTCTCTGTCTCCTGCTGCTCGGGCCTTCTTCGTTGTCCCCTAACTCCTCCTCCTCCCATGCCTTCCTCTCCTTGGCCTCTCAGTGGGTTTATTCCAGAGGAGATACCAGGAACCAGAAAAAAAGTAGAAAAATAAGGGAAGTAAATGGTCCATGAAGATGAAATTGGTGCTGGAGTTATTATCCCTTGGAACCCTCTCACTTTCATCATTCTCGTCTTGTCACCTGGGCCATTGTCATCACCATGTGATCCCACACCTCCACTGGGCTCAGGTGAAGTCTTACGCTCTCTTTCTTTCTGAATTATCTTCCACACGAACCTGAGAGCCATCTGTAACTGCGGATGACTATGTTGCTTTGGCCTTCGTGGAACCCTCAAGGTTTCCTCAATTGAGGGCGTCCTACTCCTATTCATTATATACCCTGGATCCTTGGAATACCTCTGAAGCCTAACCCATCTACGCTGTCTCAATTCCTGATGAGTCACCTAAACCTCCTTCCTAAGATCTGAACTTATAAATTGCCTCCAGCTTTCATCTGAGCCAGCTTTCTTTGGCTGGGCTACCCAGACAGCACAAACCTGACACCAGTCACAACATGATACAAGCGGAGAGGAAGAAATCGAACTAGAAATTGGTCCAGAATTCATCACGCTCTAGTGGTAAAATTTCTGATTAACCTCAAAAAGGGTTTTTTGGAAGATTTCTCTCAGTATACATTACCAAGGAAAAGTTTCTGTCAAATATGCGTGTGAAGCAGGGAATGAAAATTGAAATACAGAGACGTCTGCTGATGGGTTGCGTGGGAATGAGTTGAAACAGAAGGAAAGTGTGAGTTTGAGAAAATATCAAATAAGGAAGAAACTAGAAAATGATGCGTCATTTTCCCTTAAACTAGGAAGTTGTAAGATGAAGCGATTGACAAAAAGCGGTTTCCTAGAGTAGAATCTGAGGTGCTTTATTTTTTTGGATATTTCTCGTATTTTTTGGATCTATTTAGTCAAATCTTTGCCTACTCCAACGAGTACCAAGGGACTTGATATGTGAACCCTTTTCTACGAGAAAGATAGAAAAAGGATCCGGAGGCCTCGCAGAAGCAATGGGTACAGGTGGAATGGAAGCTTTTTATATCACGCACAGATCAAAATCTCCAAGCTTCTATGTGATCTAGATCGGATTGATGGAAAATTAAAAGTTGACTCATGACAGTAAGATGATTTCAAATGGGTTGTTTAAATCAGCTAGGAAAACTGCCTTGGTAGATCACTCCTGCCCTTTCAATTAATTTTAGTGCATATAACACTAACACGGTTGGTGCCTTGATTCATTTCGAGCTAGAACCATCTACTATCAAGGTGGATTCCTGCTCTTCTCCCTTATCTGCTTCTGCGACCGATTAATAATATATCCTGTGATGGATGCTTACCATGTTCTCTTTAGGTAGAAAAGGTTATCATGGAACTCCGGAAAAATTACCCCAGTGATGGCTTGCTCCCCATATACATCGATTCTGATTCGGGAACCCCATCTTACCGGTCAACGATCACGTTTGGTGCCATGGGTGATAGGTACTGAGAACTTTTCTGCCCTTTTCTATCGATTCCTCTTGTTGTTCTGAAGATAAATCGACCTCTGTGTGGCGTTTCCTCGTCAGTTTCTTCAATCTTCAACTTCTCTGGTCCCTAGATTCCTTTGGATCTTTGATGTTATCTCCTTCGTTTTGAAGCTGCTTGAAATGGTAGTGATCAATCCTCTGCGTTTACTTCGTGCTTTTTATAAGAACAACCCCCCGTTGACTTTTCCCTTATTATTGGAGAGAGCCTCTAAAATGAGGGCTGTGTTCCAGCTTTTACGAGTACCTGCTCAAAGTCTGGATACAAGGAAACAAAACCGAGGCTGTGAGACACTACAGGTACGGATCCGAGGATCTTATCTATCTCCATCGATCATCATCCGCGAATTTGTTTCGTCGCTTAGTGTGATTATTTATGAGGAAGTCAACGTCTGATGAATGATCAGCAAAATCGATCATGGGCTGCTTGGAGACTGCGATTTAATGGCTGATATTTTGGTGAACAGAGGGATGTGGGAAACGTCGATGCAGGGCCTCCTCAGCCTGGTTCGCAGGAGCACGCCTTCTTCTTTGTCCTACATCTGCGAGAAAACCGAGGATTCTCTCGAGGAGAAAGTGGGTTCCTTTCCTTCCTGACTCGCTCATCTGCCGCAGCTAACGTTTCTCGTGTTCTACCCATCGTCCCTCCAGATGGATGAACTGGCCTGCTTCGTTCCAGGGATGCTGGCCCTCGGATCTGGCGGCTACGGCCCACAAGACGCCAGAAGGTTTCTCTCTCTAGCCGAAGAGGTAATCTCTCCTGCATTACTTTCTCTCTCTGCGGATCGGGATCATCTTCCTGATGGGATTCGGCTCCACGCGCAGCTCGTATGGACCTGCTACAACTTCTACCGGTCAACGCCGACCCAGCTGGCCGGAGAGAACTACTACTTCTATTCCGGGGAGGTCGTCGATCCCGAAGAACATTCCCCTTTGAGATGTTTCTTTCTCTCTCATGGTTCTGTGGACGCGTTTCTTCAGGACATGAGCGTCGGGACTGCCTGGAACATCCAGCGGCCGGAGACCGTCGAGTCGTTGATGTATCTCTGGCGGGTCACGGGCAACAGCACGTACCGAGAGTGGGGGTGGAATATCTTCCAGGCGTTCGAGAAGAACTCCCGCGTTGACTCCGGCTACGTGGGATTGAGAGACGTAAGCGTTGACCACCCCTCAAAACTCTTAAGGCTGACTGTCCCCTTTCAGCTAAAAAGAAAGGCGAGTGGGTTCTTCTGGCTGGGTTCACCGTTGCTGCTTGGCTCTGTTCAGGTGAAGACGGGGGAGAAGGACGACAAGATGCAGAGCTTCTTCCTCGCGGAGACGCTCAAGTATCTGTATCTCTTGTTCTCTCCACCCACGGTTATCTCCTTGGACGAGTGGGTCTTTAACACAGAAGCCCATCCCCTGAGAATTATACCGAGAGGCGATGGGATAGTCTCTCGTTGATTTCTTTGGGAGGCGAATAGGGGCCTAAAATGCGGGCGCTTCCTGTGGTTCCTCTTCTCGCCATTGCTGTCGATCAGAATGAACCAGTTCTTCTGTCTCCTTGCCGAGTGTTGCACCTCTTGTTTATTTCCTGCAGACTCTCTCTCTCTCTCTCTCTCTCTCTCTCTCTCTCTTGCTGCCATTAATATGGGCTTGCGAAGAGTTGCAGCGATCCATTTGACCGCAGCTTTCTCAGTCTCCTCTGGATGAACAGATACCTGCCTTCTTTCTGCCCTCGTTTCTCTCTCTTTAGAGGTTAATTGAAGAGACTTACCCTCGTAATCAGATTACTACTCTCTCTCTCTCTCTCTCTCTCTCTCTCTCTCTCTCTCTCTCTCTCCCCCTCTCTCTCCAGTCTGGTCAAGACATAAGGAGAGTGATACAGAGAATATGGCCGGAGCTGACGAGCCTACATTTGCCGGTGAACGGCGACGAAATGGACACGACGACAAAAGATCCGTGGAGACGCGGAGGATGGCGAAGCGGAGGGGACGGCAAAACAGTGCCGATGACGACGGCTACGGCGAAGATTCCGTGTCCTTTCGAGCCCGGCTCCCGCCTCTGTCGAGGGTCCCCCGCCGCCGCGGAAGGGCTTCCTCTTGCTTCTACCGAGAAGGAACCGACGAGACCAGTCGTTACCCCCTCCAGATCAGGCGGGATCCTTCCGAGAGCAGCCGCCGCTAATCTCCTCGCGTGAAGAAGAAGAAGCGGAGACAAAAAAACGAAACCAGACGTCGTTATTGCGTATAGAAGTGCTGTTCTGCCGTAAAATACAACTACGTACAAATTTCCTTTCTGGTGAATTATCCGCCATTTCGCTGGTCAGCCAGAGCCCACGGTCAGACTGAGCTGAAAATGGAAAAAGAGGTCTAACTCAATATTTTCGGTCGAGTAAAGGGGAAGTGTATGCAAGTCAACGTTCCACCCAATTTTCGTCAACTTAAGCCCAATGGAACCCTGGACAGACTCTCAGCTGGCATAACGACAGCGGGTACATGTCACTAAGAGTATGCATTGAATGGGGGTCCTCGGAAATATCCGATGTATTGAGCTTCGGTGTGATGGTGCTGGAAATCGTCACCAAGAAGGGAACCACCGTCGTCTATCCAAAAATGATGTGTTGGAGTGTTTTACGTGGGTATAGCACCATTTTTCTTTCCAAATTCGTGTTTAGATGGCCGTGTATTACCTTATTTATTCACTAAGTAACGTGCTCAATCGCCTTGGAATGCTCCCTCAGGTTTGGCAATGTTGGAGTGAAGGCCGGAACAGTACATTTTTCCGAGGGGCGTTGCTGCACGTTCAGGATGATCCGAGGGTTGGCCATCGACGTCCTCCGTGGTGTTTGTTGATGGGAAAGAGAATACAGCTCTGCCGTCGCCCGAAGCGAGCAGCGTTGGTTCTGAAGAGGGCCTCATCTCACCCTGCGTCGGCCATGGCAATCTCCGCGGCGCTAGAGCATCTGCGAGACGGAGAGCAAGAACACATGCCTTCTTGATCTCAGGAGCTCGTGGCCTGATCCAGTCGACCTCGGGGGGTTGCTCTCTTCCAGAGATCTGATAAATCCATATCTAGCGATGGGGTGAGCTCACCACCGTCCTCAGTGTCCCCAACTCTCTAGCTTGTTGGAAAAGGAAGAAAATTTAGTGGTGGAGAGTTACTTTCGTCCTCGTCTCGGTCCTCACTCTTACTAATTCTTAATTTTTGTTTCCACCTCGTTCATAACCTTAAAGAATAACTGGCACCATCACCTCTTAGGCCGAGAATGGCTGCCGAAGTCGCGCAGCCGCAGGCCTTTTCTCACTGTAACCTTATGAATTTGGGAAGATGACGACATAGTCACGGGAGGTGGGCGCAGAAATTAATCCCGGTTACTTCGTGAGTCCGGGGAAAACTGCACCAGTCACGACTATGACGCATAACGATCTCCATGATAATGACATGCGAACAATGTGAGTAATTACACCGGCCGGTCGCGTCGTATTATAGGAGAACTTTCTCCGTGGTGATCACTGGTGTAATTACAATCTCACCCTCTAAGTTGCGAAGTCGTATACTCCTACTGGTTTATTCCCATAACATATGGGCATGCCGAGGAAGAAGACCGGGGACCCTAAAACTTTCAGCTTAAGCACGGCTGCTCTGGTCAATTTTGGCTGCCAACGTCAGAAGAATGAAGAAGATTAAGAAGATTGAAGCCCCAACAACCCCTTCTCTCATCAAAGTTGCCGGAAGGAGGGAACGAACCACAGTCACAGATTCGAGTTATGGTCAAAGATCGTGAGAACGAAGACCGTGGAAAATCATGTGTTGCCCAACGCGGACCAAGTTTCAGAAGGTTAAGGATCATAGAGATAGGATGACAGGGAAGGAGCCTGTCGCACCATAAAAGCATCTAAAAGTTTGAATCATATAATGTGAACACGAATCATCGACGCCATCGCCCACCTATGGCAGGCCAACGCCTGTATTCTCCCCCCGACGTTCATGAATGTTGGTCTTCGGAGGAATAGAATGAAGCGGAAGAAGCAGTGAGAAGGGCTATGGGGCAGCACTTTCTCCCATATTTAATTTGGCTCTTAATATCATCTCTTTACTGGGTATTCTGCGTTGCAGACAACAGACTACATCCTGACAATCGAATCTTCGTTAACCAAACCATAACTTCCTCGGGAGGGATCTTCGCTCTAGGCTTCTTCTCCCCCGGGAACTCCACTGAGAACAGGTACATAGGGATTTGGTACAACAGCATCCCGGAGAAGACGGTCGTATGGGTCGCCAACAGGGAAGCTCCACTGGTAGACGCATCGGGTGTGCTCACAGTCATGGCGGACGGAAACATCGCTTTGATAGACGGGAAAGGGGTTCTGCTTTGGAGTTCCAACCTCACTGGAATTCCTGTCAATACCTCCGCCGTCCTCCTGGACTCGGGCAACTTCGTTCTCAGAGATAGCGAGGAGAACGTCCTCTGGGAGAGCTTCAACCAACCATCCGACACCTATCTCCCCACGATGGATCTCTCGCTGAATATCAATACTGGCAAACGCATAGATCTGACGGCGTGGAAGGATCCACAAGACCCTTCACCTGGAAATTTTTCCTTCGGCCTCGATCGGAAGTCTCTTCTGCAGTTAGTAGTCAAAGAGGGATCGAAAATTCTCTGGAGAAGCCAGCCATGGCGTGCAAGGCAGGCTTTCGTTGTAGGCAATCTCAACACCAGTGACACCCTCATCCTTTCCTTCTCATTCACTGAGAAGGTGTTGAGTTTGTCGTCCTTGGCGACGGGGGCCTTGGTCCTCTCGAGGTACACTCTGGATACAAGCGGCAGGCTCAATTTCTCCTTCTTGAACCCTAGAGGAAACAGCTGGTCTCTCATATCGTCCTTCCCAAGTAATGCCTGCGATATCTACAAACCATGCGGTGCCTTCTCATTCTGCAAGCTCGAGGGCTCTGCACACTCCTGCAGATGCCTGGAGGGATTCGAACCCACGAACATGAAAGAGTGGGAAGTGAGGAACTTCTCCAGAGGTTGTTTGAGGAAGGTGCCGCTGAGATTAAACAAGAAAGACGAGTTCTTGAGGTATGAGACCATGAAATTGCCGGACGATTTCTCCATCTGGTGGAATAGGACTGCGGAGCAGTGCATGACCGGGTGCTTGGATGATGGTCAGTGCACGGCGTACGCCATCGCCAATTTCACCGGCGGAGATCGAATCGGCTCAAGGTGTCTGGTATGGTCTGGGGAACTGATTGATCTGGTTAAGGCTCCAAATTCGGGAGAGGATCTGTACGTGCGTATTGCCTCAGCGCAATTGGGTACTTTCTTCAGCCCTTTCCGCTCCATTTATTTCTATTTTTACTATATTTCCTTGTCATAATCGTATGAAATTGAAGATTCATCCAATGGGTGAATTTCCTTGCTGTTCTTCGGAATCATTATTGTTGAAACTGTTTTTATTAACAAAATGTTATTCTCTTTTTGTTGCACTTCTCTCCTCTAGTTCCTCTGTACATCGTTTTTATTTTCATTTTCAATGATATTTCATGCAACCAAATGTGACGAGTTTGATCACTGTATATTGAATTTCATACAATCTGATGGGCAAAATGAATCAATATACCCTTGTTTCCAGACCCCAATGGGAAGAGTACTACGCTCCTGAAGATCGTAGCACCTACTGTTGCTGTTGTTGCGACACTTCTCATGGGAGCTTCTTTCTTCCTCCTATTCAGGAAACGAAAGAGCAGGAAAGGTAAATAGACGTACACCATAACCACCTGATCCACTTCTTTCTTTCTCGATTTATTAACCATTGGTATTTCTGTGCTTGCTGTATCTTAAGGAAGGAGGGTGAAAGGCGGCAAGGGAGTACTGTTTGACGGAAGTAGGTCCTTAGCTACGCTTGGAAGTGAAGACGATATGTCTGAGCCAATCAAGTTGGAATTTAGTAGTATTATGTCCACGACAAATAATTTCTCGACAAAAAATCAGTTAGGGCATGGAGGCTTTGGTTCTGTCTACAAGGTATGCTATTCCTATCCATAATTTATGTTTTTCGATTACTAATTTGTTTGGGACCAAAGCTTGACCCAAGCTGGATTCATTTTTTCTGGGCCACGTTCTGAAAATAAAGCCTACAAAACGAATGGCCCAAGGATGGGACGGGTCTTAGTCTGGGACCCCAGTGTTTTGTCTGTCTTCCGGCTCTCTCCCCCCCCGCCCTCTCTCTCTCTCTCTCTCATATGGACTTTTCTTCGCGCTGGAGACGTAGAAAATGCGTCCATTCGAAAAGACATGCGGGTAATTGCGAAGGTAAAGTAAGATTAGATTACGACTGATGGTCGATTATGGGATTCATTTCTCAGGGCAAACTATTGTCAGGCCGTGAAGTTGCAATAAAAAGGCTTTCCAAGTTCTCTGGTCAAGGACTCGAGGAATTCAAAAACGAGGTCAAGCTCATAGCCAAGCTGCAGCACACAAACCTTGTTCGTCTCTTGGGCTGGTGCGACCATGACGACGAGAAGCTGCTGGTCTACGAATATATGCCCAATGGAAGCCTGGACAAACTCATATTCGGTGCAGCTCATGCTTACCTTATTTGGAATATCTGTTCGTGATCTTTCTAGCACTTTGTTTTTTCTTAGCTTAAAACTGTGGAGCAGATGAAAGGCGGTCAGCGGAGTTAGACTGGGGAAAACGGCTGAGAATCGTAGAAGGGATAGCGAATGGTCTCCTGTATCTCCACCAGCATTCAAGACTGCGCGTCATCCACAGGGACTTGAAGACCAGCAATGTGCTACTAGACGCTCAGATGAACCCCAAGATTTCAGATTTTGGGTTAGCAAGGATATTTGACGGGACGCAAACAGAAGCCAACACTGGCAGAGTACTCGGCACATAGTAAGCCTCTCCTCCATTATTGGATTCGGAGGAAAATACACACCTTTTCATATTAACGTGGCGTTTTGTTTGGATTTGGAACGACAGCGGGTACATGTCACCAGAATATGCAATGGATGGGGTCTTCTCTGAAAAGTCTGACGTATTCAGCTTCGGCGTGATGGTGCTGGAAATTGTCACCGGGAAGAGGACCACAGGCTTCTACCCCTACAAAGACTCCTTCAGTCTCGTAGGTTATGTAAGTGCGACCCACTCGCAGAAAAAAATTCATTCACACAAAGACTGATCTGATGTAGGTAATCATTAAAGCAAATGAAGGATATTAAACTTTTGCTTCCGTCCTCAATTGATACATTAAGAATGGTTCTTCAATGATTACGATTAAAGTACATATGATCATAAGGATGGTCTGACTCTATTTATCGTCAATTATTTCTTCCTTCAATGGCTGAATAACATTCGCATAGTATTGAAATCAAGATGGTTCATAGCATGTGTACACCCTTTTTACATTGTTTATTTGACAATATCTAAATTTGGACCGGCATGTGAACTTTGTGAGAAGAATAGCCCGTAGGAGATGGGCATGCTCCTTCAAAACTTGGATTTAAATTTACTAACTTTTGCTCAATATTTCTCGGAGATTATCTGAACCAGCATCATAAAAGTTTTTATCAAGAGACGAGCCTAATCGAACAGATTATAAATGTTTGGGTTTTCAGATGGGGTAAACCCATGTCGTTGAAACCCGATCTGGGATTCAATTACAGATGGAAGTTATTGATTTGGAATGCCTGCTGCAGGTTTGGCAAATGTGGAAAGAAGGCCGGAGCTTGGAGCTGGTGGATCCCGCAGTGGATAATGTAGTTTTGACTTTCGAAGTAGAAAAATGCATCCGAGTGGGGCTGCTGTGCGTTCAAGAGGACGCGGCAGATCGACCGGACATGTCTTCAGTCGTGTTCATGCTGAGGAAGGAGAGTACAGCCCTGTCCTCACCCAAGCAGCCCACTTTTGGCATGAAGAAGGCGGCAGTTCTGCCATCTTCCACGGTAATATCTGTCATGGGACAAGAACACTGGAATGGACGACAACCAGGCGACAAAGTTTTCGAAGCTCTTGGAGACGACAGATACTGACTTTTCAGTGGGTTCTCTCCAAATTTTGTTGTAGTTTACTTGCTCTGTCGGAATGGTGAGATCGCGGTTGAGGGTAACGATGCCAACCCTATTTTGGGATGGGAAGATGGACAAGTGATTAGCTTGTATTGCTCCGAATTCTGAACAGTACAGTTAACTCACATGACTCTAGGAAGACTAAGTCTCCTACCGAGAACAGAGACTTGCAGAAAACAGCGAAAAGAAACTAAAGAAAATAGAGGGGTAAATAAGCGGCCGCCGATTCAAAATGGCGGCTTATAGCCTAGAATGTAGCGTTATTTTAGCTAGAGTTATTTTTTTTATAAGAAGATCACCTCCATAGTTGACAAAAATTCATAATTGCTACCACAATATAGAAGGCGTGATCATAAGATAGATGGGAACCGGAAAACCTGAAAGCCTTAAAAGCTTAAGCATTTGGTAATATGTTTAGATATTTTATCATCTATGTTGGTAATTTACTCCAAGTACAGGATTGTAATGTGTCGAATGAAATTTTCCATCTTGAAACACTTCATAAAATATCATTATAAAAAGCAATAATACGAGTTAGTTTCTAATATTATGAATCCTGAAGCCTCGGGAGAGATCTGGGTAATGAGCATGACAACAGTCTCTAGCTGACAATTTGAACGATCACAGAATAAATGAAGTCAAAGTGTCTTCTAAAACTCTGAGCTAGTATCACTAACTTGAGGATATTCTGCATCTACATTCCCTGGCAACTTTGGTTGTCATATTTTCCCAGATACCATCAACTATTTGGAGGCTATAAATGATGGCTAGACTCGTCTCTCCTGGGGGAATTTCGTGCTGAGGTTCTTCACTCGTTTAGGTTCCAGGGAGGGGTGCCTGGACATATGCTACATGGTCTCTGAAAAATAGTCATATGGGTTGGAAACAAAGACAAGCCCCTTAATGTCGCTCGTAGGCTTAATCATCGACAACGGCGGTGATCTCGTCCTTAATGGAAAGTCCAGGCTGATCCGCTGGTCTACAAGTCTTAACAATTTAATGAGCATCACCTCACATCATTTGAACTCCACCAATCTTGTGCTGAGAGAAGGGATGAGTCCTACAAACGAAATCTTCCTCTGGCAAAGCTATGACTATCCAACTGGCACCATCTTTGCAGGAATGAAAGCTAGGAAGTTTTCGCATGCATCTGTTGCATGCAAGCATCTAAGGGGATTTCCGGTCAAGTACCAAGATGAGTGGAACATTCAAAGTTGCACTGGAGGCTGTGTGAGGAGGAGGAAGCTAATATGTAGAGGTGGCGACGTGTTCATGCAGGAGAAGAGGATGGAGTTGCTGGACACAGTGAACTCCACCATCCACATGGGCATAAGTCAAAGGTAGTACAGGGATGTGCTTAAAGAAGTGTTCCAGCGTAGTGTACGCTGTATCAGGGATCTGGTTTAGGTGATAACGTTATTGACAAATGGGCATATTGGGGTTCGGAGCATCCTCTCTCCCCCTTGTTACGTAGTGAAAGTCAGATGAAAAATGAAACACGAGAGAAAGAGAGGAAGAGAATGATGAGAACATGGAACGCACTCTATCTGAGTGGTTCAGAGAAACCTCTGATGTCCACTATTACACACAGATCAAGCTTCCTTCAAGTGATCGTCTCTTGCATTCCTCCAGAGCCAAAACGTCTTTCCACGCCTTAATTACGTGAGTTGACGGCACCCCTCCTCCTAAGCTTAGAATTAGAGGAAAGTTCTATATAAACAAAGGACAAGTATATCCATGAGTTGAATCTATATACTCCCTGAAGAGCTCCTTAAAGCCCATCATAGTCCAATAAGGGATCAATCTCCACAACTACAACAATGGCAGGACTCATATCTGCGACTTGCAATTTCATATCTTGGTATGATTTATTAGACCTTTTGATTCGAGGAGCATGTTGGATGAGTAAAATTGTTTCTTGACTTGGGTGCATTTGTTAACTTAACACGGCTTTTAATATTTGTAGTTGACTTAATATATTTCTAAAGGTACAGAATGGAGACACGATTTTTCCTTTCAGCATGAGATCCCTGCAACACAGCCTGTGATACATTTTTATTTTTTTTTCATTAATAGTATTATTGAAATTACGATTCTACCCTATGTTAAGTAGTGAAATGAAACTTTTCATAGGCATTTTCCTTGTCTGTTTTTAAACTTTAAAGCACTGACTTTCTGGATATACTATTGAGTCCCGAGACCCAAACTCCACGAGCAGATTGGTTACCATCTTGTGTCGTTGAAACGCCATTATCAACTATTCAACAAAAAAGGCGTATTCTTTATGCTGAGAAAATTTAATGGCAAACGAAGGGTACTATATTTTCATTCCAGAAAAAACCTACCTTCAACCACAAAAACTGATACTATATTTGTTGACCTATAAGATTTCCGATGGTGTTTTAAGAAAAATAGCATGTTTCTTATGTCATGGGCAATCATTATGGCCAAATTTAACATATCTGGGTAATTTGAATGCTCAAGAAGTGCCGTATAGAACATTTTCCTATGAACTTCCTTGTAGATTCGACACCCCAGAGTTTATAGAAGAAAACAGCCTGCTCATTGGCTAATTCCTCGTTTCATCTTATTCATTTGCTAAAAATGGGTAAACCGTTACATCTGATATATTTCGGCCACACGGGAACGGCTTAAACTGGGTTTCAGTTCAAGGTTATCTATGAGAATACCTCATTTGTACCAAAACATTTTTGTTAAAAAAGAAATACGACAAGTAATGTTGATAACGAGATCCACAAAACATGCACACTACAGATTACTTTGCCGAACCTTGAATAAGGTCGGTGAATATTTGGCGTAAACACCGACCTTGTTCAAGGTTCAACCTTTGTGGGAGCTGAAACACCGCTTGGCGGTCGTTTTGAATGAGGCGATTGTGGGGTTGTTTTCGTTCTCTAAAAGTCCGGTGCTCTTCGATCTCTACCGGTCAACGGAGCCATCTTCGAAATTCTTCTCGAGAAAATGATTAATGGGTTTCGTTGACTCTTCGTACCTGTAACAAGTGAGCTCAGAATCACTGTGCTAGTTGTCACACACGAAGTCCTCTACACTCTGGTCAATATTTGGCGTATGGATGACGGCCCTCAGCACAGTAATTCATAAATTGAATCATAGTTCGTCTCAGAAAAATACTGTTTAAGCAGTTGCTTTTTAGTTCGCAAAGCTGACATTCCAGAACTTCTCCAAGCCTCAGAGAGAAGAACCGTCTGGAGTGGCAGTTGACCTTGAGCCGCAATGTCTTATGGAGTAGATAATAAATTTTCAATTTGGTTATCCAGGAAAATTGGGTTCCGGTTAGAAACTGCCCTTGAAGAGGCTATGTCCACATTCCGGACAAGGGATTGACGAAAAGGTTACGCTGATTGCCAAGCTTAAACGCCAAAAACTTGTTCGACTTCTGGGTTGTTGCATTGAAGGAGAAGAAAAGATGCTGATTTATGAGTACACGACTCAACAAAACCTTTGATGTGTCTGTTTTCTGGATCATAATTCATTCTTATCTGCATCTCTTCTTAAGGGCCAGCTGCTGCTTCTGCTGACGACTATAAAGCATAAATCTTATAATTTTTTTCACGTCCGAAGGTGTCTCATTAGACGCACAGAGGGCGTAGAGGTAGTGAGATGACCCGTAGTAGGTTCTCTCCCAGATGATATCGGTAGTAATGCGTACCGTCATTTGTACCCACCGCTGACTGGCGACCTTACTTGGACGTACCTTAGGGATCAATTCCGGGCTTCTCTATCTCCACCTAGATCCGCGGTTCAGAATCATCCCCCGCGGGAGCGACTCTTCTTGACAGGGGCCCATGAACTACGAAATATCGCACTTCGGCGCTGGCAGGATCGCATGGAAGGATCAGGTGGATGAGAACACGGTCAGAATAGTCGGAAATATGTACGCCTCTAAGGCGCCCTATCCATTCCCGTTAATCTCCTGCCGAGTAGTCTCAATATCATATTCTCGTTGACAAGTCGTACAGTTGTCTCCGAAGAGCATCACAGACGCAAATTCCTCGGGGAAGTCCGATGTGTTCAGACTTGCAGTTTTAGTGTTGGAGATCGAAATTGCTAGGAGGACCCGCTAGGATTTGTCAGGTCTCCCACCTAAACCTTCTCGTATAACCACATTGACGCCTAAATCTTCTGCCAGGTAAAACCCATGGTATCAGATGATGCCACATCGAATAATGTAACGATCAAACCTTCTCGTCATTGGCTAGTTCCTCGTTTTGACCTTCTTCATTTGCTAAAAATGGCTACAGCATTACATCTGATATATCTATTAGGTTAAGCTCCTCCTGTGTGGTAAAATTGTTTTGGGATGAAGGAAACACGACAAGTAATGTTGACAACCAGACACACAAAACGTGCACACTCCAGGTTACTCTGACAAACCTTGAGTAAGGTCAGTGAAAGGCTTCCGCCTTGTGGGAACTGTAACACCGCCCAACGGTCGCTGTCGACGAGGCAGTTGTGGGGTTGTTTTCGCTCATCTTTAAAGATCGGTGCTCTTCGATATCTTCCGGTCAAAGGAGCCATCTTTGGAATCCTTCGGGAGAATATGATTTCAGGATTTCGTTGACCCTTCGCACCAGTAGTAGGTGGGAACGTAATTACAATAGTAGGCATCCCCCATGAAATCCTCTACCCTATTGTCAATATTTCGGCGCCACCTACCACCAATGATTCTGAGGAGCGTGGATAAGCTGAGCATATACGTGAGATAGCGCGTTCAAGAACTGTACGCCTTCAGAAAAACTGTTTAGGCAGTTGATTGTTAATTTGCAAAGCTGACATTCAAGAGTTTCTCCAAGTTCCGAGGCAGTTGATTGTTAATTTGCACCGGAAGTCAACCCTCAAGTGCAGTTTCTTGCCGTTCAAGTTTTGTTATTAAATGTCATCGTGATTGTCCGACATGTATGGTCGTGATCTTCCATTTAATATTGATAGGAGCTGTATATTCGGTGGACCCAATCAGCTAGCCTGTGAGGTACATCATCTGGTAGTCGTCGCAGAACGGATAGCCCCAGTTAATGTTCGCGATAAATACCAATGGTTGGAAGACGGAACACAGGCTAGAAAAACAAGCCAAAACTGCGTGCAGAGTAGTAAACGATGTGAGCTTCCACTGTTTGCCTACCGTAGATATTTTATGGTCGGAAGCAAGAATATAGCGTAAATAGTCAATAACCGTCGCGATCAGATATGACTCTATCGTTGGTTAAAGGCATATCCGCTAGTGTCCGGATGAGAAGATTTTTATGCGCTCTGAAGATCTGAGATCCGAGGTACCATTTCCTACATGGGGAAATCCTCGATGATCTTTCACTACTTTTTAGTAATTTCTCTCTTCGTCCTCGTATCGTCCTCGAGCGGTGAAGACACAATCCAGCAGTCGCAGAACATCAGCGATGGCCAGACTCTCGTCTCCGCCGGCGGGATCTTCGTGCTGGGGTTCTTCTCTCCGGTGGATTCCGGTAAGAGGTATCTGGGTATATGGTTCGCCATTTCTAATACAACAGTCGTATGGGTCGCGAACAGAGATAAGCCTCTCAACGACTCCTCCGGTATCCTGCGCATCGACAGCACCGGCAATCTCGTCCTCGCCGGGAGCCCTCCCAGCACAATCTTCTGGTCTACGGGTCAAACCAGCTCTGCCGGCGCTACCGCACAGCTGCTGGACTCCGGCAATTTCGTACTCAGAGAAGGGAGCAGTCCTACGGCCGGAAACTTTCTCTGGCAAAGCTTCGATCACCCAACAGATACCATGCTTGCGGGGATGAAGATCGGGCCGGACTACAGGACCGGGCGTGATCGGAACTTGACGGCGTGGAGGAACGCAAGCGATCCCTCACCGGGACGATTCACCTACAAGCTGGACCCTCGCGGGATGGGTCAACCCTTCGTGCTGGATAACACGACGGTGATCTACCGCAGCGGCCCCTGGAATGGGATCCAGTTCAGCGGCTCACCGTCGATGAAGTCCTACCCGATGTTCTACTCTACCGTCGTCCAGAATCAGGAGGAGGCGTACTACCAGTTCGGGGTAACCCAGGCGACGACCCTCACTAGGCTGGTGATGGATTATTCCGGAGTGGCGAGGCGCTTGCTGTGGGATAGTAAGAAGGCGGGCTGGCAGGAGCTGTGGAGTTCGGCCCTGGACCGGTGCAGCAACTACCTCTTCTGCGGCCCCAACGGGGTCTGTAACGGCGATGGTTCTCTCCCATGCAACTGCCTCCCGGGATTCCGGGCCAGGAATCAAGACGAGTGGGACATTCAAAACTGGAGTGGAGGCTGCGAGAGGAATACGAGTCTGAACTGCGCCGACGGCGACGGGTTTCTGCCGCGGATGGGGATGAGGTTGCCAGACACGGTGAACTCCACCGTCGACATGAGCATGAATTTCAATGAATGTAAGGAAACATGTCGGAAGAATTGCTCCTGCGCAGCCTACGCGAGCGCGAACATCAGCGGAGGAGAAAGTGGTTGCATAACCTGGATTGGGGATCTGATCGATCTGAAAACTTTTGGGGAAGCTCAAGATGGGCAAAACATATACATACGACTGGCGAAAGCTGATATCGGTACGTTCTATCATCTTACTCACCCGAGATTTTACTCAATTAAAATCACGTATGACTGGTCTGAACCAGCTCCTCAAGGATGCTCCGATGTTCACATTTTTGGGGTCCCTCCCTCCTAAACCAGAACCACAAGTCGTATATGAGTAGGCTGATCTTTGGGGAAGGAAATGGCTTATGCTTTTCCTTCGAGTAGCCCCCCGACCCATTTAACCTACGGCAATTCGCTCCAGTGATATTATTTGATACTCCGCAGAAACCGACGCATAAAACTGGATATTACCCTCTCTTGTTCTGATATTTCGGTGGAATTTTGCGGTTTAAAGGGAATTCGCCGGACTACACGCGCGCATACAGATACCTTGTTCACTACAGGAAACTGTCTTGGACTCTACTGTGGAACTTTCATTTTCCAGACTATAGATTATTCGTACGGAATTCTTTTCAGGAAAGGAGATCTATTTTGACAAGGATTCTGCAGAAGTCAATATGACTTGCCGCATTAACTATTCATTTATGTTTTTTCTCTTTTTGCTTTGGGGGGGGGTGGCGTGGGTTTTAATCCATGGCAAGTGGTTTGGTGGGAGGGAGGCCTCCCAATCCCATTGCTCGGCAGTGAAACCCCCGGGTCGACGTGGCCCCTTCACGGATACCGTCCACCATGTTGGCTGCTGAGATAGCTGTCTGGTGAGAGGCAACTCTGCTGGGTGGGCGATGCCACACTCTTCGCTAGAGGCTGTCCGCAGTGGCGGATCGTTGAGGAGGCTTTCTCGCGGTGGCTATTCGCGATGGAAGTCCGCAGCGGTGAGCCCCAACCCTGCGGCGGACGACCCCCGTGAAAGGTACCTATCCGTGGTGGGAAGATGGCCTCTTTATCAAGGCTTGGGCGTCGCAGCAGCAGGAAGAGTACTGGGCAGCGCTCACGCCCTTCCCCCTCGGGGAGGTCCAACTCGCGGCGCCATTGCCGTACACGATGGGGTGGAATGGAGTCCTCTTGGCCGGCCAACTAGATTTCCCCATGAGGATCGACCCAAATTGATAATCTTATCCGTGATTTCTTCGGAAATATATTTGATTCCCCAGAAATGGCTGCATCTAAATTACAAATTGTGTTCTTCAATATCTAATTCGAAATTCTTAAGAAACTTGCCTGATAGCCAAAATTCGTTTAATATTTTTGCCATTGCTTCTGGATTTAGGAATGGTAGATAGGAAAATCAAGGTATGACAACGGCCACCCCCAGTTGATAACTATGCATCTTCCTCCATTCTCTGTTGAGATAATCGAATAAGCTCGGCTTTCTGCCCTTTATATTTTAACCTCATTAGCGTTGAATCTTCCTTCAGACTCGTCTTCTTAGAGGGGAGTTCTCAGCTCATCTACTTCACCTTTTCTGTTCAGCCCTGTGTTGGGTAATCGTACTTATAGGCCTGTTTACAAGGCCGTGGAGCAGCAAGGCAGGCTAGAGAGTGTGGCTGCAATGCGATTCAGCCTACTGTCGTGATTATTTTTTCCCTGAATATTTGGGGGCATTCAGATGTTTACTTAGCATCAATTATTTCTCATGCAGAAGAGATTCTTGGGAAACCATCCAAGAAGAAACATGGTGCAGTTATCGCCGTCACAGTGGCTTTAGCTTTGGTGTTGCTCATTTTGGCATTTTGGGGATATTGCATACGCAGGAAAAGGAATCGGAAGTCGGAAGCCATAATCGAAAACGGTAAGAAATTTCACAAAGGATTTCCATTTGGTTGTCCTCAGTGTAACTTTCTCGCTCAAGTGAATAGGAAAACATTTATGTGGAAATAGTATAAGCACTGGGAATCATTTGTACCATCCAGAGAAATATTTATGTGCTGTTTAATCTTAGCTTCTATGCATCAATGCCAGGTTCAAGGCTTCAAAGCATCAGCAAGGATCTTACTGATGAGAAAAACGATTTGCCCCTGTTTGATTTGGGTACTATAGAATTGGCCACAAACAAATTCGCAGATGGTAATAAGATTGGGACAGGAGGGTTTGGTTGTGTCTACAAGGTGAGCTTTCCTTTTTATTACGCCTCCAAGAACACCGCAGGATTGTTATATCTTCCTCGTGGATGCATTTTACCTCTGGATCGTATAACTGAGGCGTAGTACTAATTCTCAAGCCTTCTTTACAACTTTTCAGGGAAAATTTGTGGATGGTCAGGAAGTGGCTGTAAAGCGGCTCTCTTCGCAATCTGGAGAGGGGATTGAAGAGTTCAAGACTGAGGTTAGGCTGATTGCCAAACTCCAGCACAGAAACCTTGTCCGGCTTCTTGGATGCTGCATTGGAGGAGGAGAAAGACTGTTGGTCTACGAGTACATGCCCAACAGTAGCTTGGATGCCTTCATATTCGGTAGGATTCTTGACTTTTTTTTTTTATTGCAATCATAGGATTAGAATTTTCAATATTGTCCCAATGCTTGCCCAGAATGATGCTAATGATGGTGTCACACCCAAGATCCAGTGATGGCCACGACTAACTTATAGACATCTACCATTGACATTAAAAGGAATTGGATCTTTTTTTATGTTGACTCAAGATCGAGCCTTTATTTACATGCAGGTGATGAACAGAAGCGTCTGTTTTTGGACTGGGAAAAGCGCTTGGAGATAATCTTGGGGGTAGCCCGTGGGCTTCTCTATCTCCACCAGGATTCACGGCTCAGAGTCATCCACAGGGATCTCAAGGCAGCCAACATACTCCTAGACGAGGCTATGAACCCCAAGATCTCGGACTTTGGCACTGCCAGGATCTTTGGAAGGGATCAAATGGAGGACAACACCGTGAAAATAGTCGGCACCATGTACGTCCTCTCTCTTGGGCTAGTTATTCATTTTGGTTTGATCTCATGACGAACAGTGACAATATTATTTTCGTTTTCACGAACGTTGCAGTGGATATATGTCCCCAGAGTACATCATGAGTGGGAATTTCTCGGAGAAGTCTGACATCTTCAGCTTTGGAGTTCTGGTGTTGGAAATCATAAGTGGTAGGAAGAACCAGTGGATCTCTCAGAAGAACTTCCACATGAGGCTTCTAGCCAACGTAAGTGCAGAACAGCTAGACCCATCTACCGAATAGCATTCCATGTACCGCAATCATCGTTGGTCCCTAAAGCCCCAAGCGTATATATAGTACTTACCATTTTGGGAAACTTTCATATCAGGCTTGGAGACTCTGCACCGAAAACCAATGTGATAAGCTCTTGGACGACATGCTGAGGCCTCCAAATCAGCTCTCCGATGTCCTGAGGTACATACAGATTGGGCTCCTGTGTGTGCAGGAGTCTCCAGACGACAGGCCGACAATGCAAGAGGTAGTTTTCATGCTGGCCAACAGGAATTCTGTGCTGCCACGGCCGGAGAAGCCCGGGTTCTTTAAACCCACCAGCCTGGTGGCAGCAGCACAGTGGTTCGCCGACGGCCATAATCTATCGCCCTCTGTGAACGTGATTACTCTCACGAATGTTGAAGGGCGCTGAAAGGTTCTTGGTTTATGTCAAGATCATTCCACTGGAATGAAGTCTAAAAGCTGGTGCAGAAACAGGGACCCTCATAACGAGGTTCAGTTTCTTGTTCAGTTTTGTACTTCCCTTTCATCTTCAATTAACAGTAACCAAGTGTACTGATTTCTATCCGGTGAATGCATAACAGTAGCCGCAGTATGTCTACGCAGTTACTATTGACCCAAGGGGCAGGTTCCTGTCTCTTTTTTCTGTCCGCCGTCGGCAGATTACGCCAGCCCAATAATGTTGTTCGGCCCGATTGGAAATTGACCTGGTCAATATCTCTAAGATGGGAGTGAAACGTTCCTACGGCCCAGTTTGGCTCACAAAAAAATGCTTTCGCTCACAAATGAATCTGAGAATCAAACGAGACTTCTTTTATCTGTTTTACTATTTGCAATCCAGATCAGATTTGGATTATTTACGTAGTCAATTAACTAATAGTAACTAAGAGAAATATTACGCTGGCTATTTCATCTTCACACAAAAAATAGATGGAATCCCCCATGAGAATCGTAGTAATGGCAACAGCGGGATTTAAGATCTCAAAGATGATAGTTTTCCTTGTATTAGGATCTAAAAAAACTAAAAATATAGTCAATAGATTCAGTTCGATAGTTAATAATAATCAAATTTTGGAGAAAGAAAGAAAATTTGATGAGGTGAGATACAGACACGAATCTTAGTAATAGTCGTGGACACTATTATTCTTCATGTAGATGAGTGAGTGAACATGGGTCCCAAGGGAAAGACATTCATGGATTGAACTTCACAAGAAGCTTTCTGGAGCTAGACAAGAATGCCCCAAAACTTAGATAATTCTATCTGTTATCCGTTTATTAGGGTGTAAAAAATTTGATGTTTCCTTTGTGAGAACGATTATTTCTAAATATATGATTTTTCTTCGTGTTGAGATTTTCCGTGTCTTTGTATGCTGTTGTGAGTGGCATTCTCTTTATAATTTATTTCTCTAGCTTATCGTTCAATAGCGGGGGTTTTAGACCGTTTCATGTGGCGACACAGGGTCCATGTATTTATTCAATTAGTCACATCTTTAAGATTTCATTTTTGTGTGCGTTTTAAAAAAAGGCTTCACAAGAACCGTTTGAAATATCAGCCATGAAGTGAACTGAGAAATGATAATACGTACGAATATGAGTAGTAAGACGTATGAACTGGAAAAACTTCAAGTCAGTTCATCAGGGAGACCGAATACACACAACACCCATTTATCACACTGAATTATTTACAGATGCACCAACAGAGAAATTTGAACACAAAAACAATATAGAAATAGAGCAGAGAGTCAAGTTGTCACCCATTCCAACTGGGGCGGCATGCACATACAGGTCCTCCCGCACGCTTATGTCCTTCTCCTTGCCATCGTTGAGAACTAGGTTGCCGCTTCTTCCACTGTTCGCACGTTTATTCCGAAACCCAACAGTCTGTGAAGAGAGAGAAAGTTTGTGAAAAGATGAACATGGAAGTGCTGACAACTTTTTATTCAGTCTTTAAAAAGTCTATAGTTGTCGGCTGGCCTACCATTTTTTTCTTTTCAGTCGAGCATTAAAGAATTTAAAGAAATTAAACTTTAGATGCAAGAAGCCTATTGCAGTGATAAACAGCCACGTCGTACCTCTTTCTTCCATGCCTGGTGACACGGACATACGTACTTCCTGAGTTTATGTTAAGGTATCATTATTGCATGTAAGAACTGAAACAACATTCCGAGATTTCCGTGACTGCTCCTTCGGATCATTCACTTCAATCTCTTAATTATACAGTTCCCCTCCATATCCAGGGAGGTGAACCAGAGAGAGCTAACCCCTCGTCCAACTACGAGATCAAACTGAATGATCAGCTCACCCCCGTTCGCTTAAGGGGGCCCTAAGAGAGGGAGCTCACTCTATAACTTCCTATAGACAGACGGTCTTTTCTCTTATCAGATAAAATCCCTTTTATTTGTAAATTCCATAATACATTTCTTTGATTGCGGAATAGGGGAAGGGGCCCCATTCCTTAGTTGTCACAAAAAGATCAATAAATATTAATCTCATTTTACAAGGATCAAACCGCATTACTAGTATTCGTATAATTGATCGCAGAAACTTGTCAACATTGCGTACTTCCTGGTAGTCTTGCACCCATGACAGCGAGACCACGATATATGGTTTTCCAGGAATGATCCAAAAATGTCTACTACAGCAAGACAAGACGGCTGTGATCTGACATTGAGCGCCATGGGTAGCTGGATAACTCAATGTTGCTCTCTCAATTATTGAAGGAATCCCCATAAAGGACCGACAATCCGGGGGAGGCAAGCTCATGATACAAAAGGTCAGTGAGTACTGTCTCTCATAAGTGAGAGCAGGGATGGTGATGCAACCGACGGTGGCTCCATACCTGGGAAGCCTGAGGTGAACTGCTATAATGGATTGTTGAGCTCCTTTTATGCTTTTCAAAAACAAGAGAATGGCATGAAAATCGAGCTGTTTTTTGAGTTTCAGATTCCTTACGGTTAAGGACTCCTTCAGGGTCAAAAACTCAAAGTTTTCTTACTCAAACCTGTTCTTTTACTTAAGGGATACAACGTTACCCCCTAAGTCCTCCTTGGGGGGGATAAGGGAATTCGTGTATGTGTGCATGCGTGTGAGTATAAGCGCTCGATTCTCGAGTGCTTATCAACTAAAGTTAATTTTAATGAAATGGAATGAAAAACATGAAACCTGAGTTTAGAAGGCATATCATGAATTTTGATCTAAATTTGCTCATCAGCTAGTAACTTACACCCTAATGCAACACCCAAGGCATTGTGTAACAAGGATGTGCCACGCGCGGGTGCCGTTCTGCACGCGGGTGCCGTGCTGCGCACGGTTGTCATGTTAGTTGTTGGTCCCATGTAACACATTGCCTTGGGAAATATGTGTTATTTTTTGTTATCTTCTTTTAGTTTCTCTATTTGCAGTCAACTGCTGCTGGACTTGATAAGGGAGACTTAAGATAAGAGTTGGTGTTGACGGTGTCAGTCCATCACGGCTGGCCTGTTCGGGAGATGTGTGAGAGAACCTCTCCCGTCTCAACAATTCAAGAGACGTGAGAGAGATCTCTCCCATCTGATTCACTCGGGAGGCATGCGAGGAGTATGGGACAGTGACATGGTAGCCACGTCAACCCTTATGACCCATTCAAGGGTCGTGCCGAGAGAGAACGAGGATGGTTCTATCCATCACATCTGAGATGTGTGGGCTCAATTATATGTAGATCAAGATGCTTCCTTTTAGGGAGTGGTTATCTTATCCTATTCACTATAAATAAGACATATATTTCTCATTTTTATGTACAACGGACAATAATTTTTCTCTTGATTCTATTCTCTCTCTCCATCAACTCTATTCTTTTTTTTGGTATCTTTTCTTTCTTCTATTGTAGGTGAAGTCCTTATAGAAGGAGAGAAGAGTTCATTGTTGACTCTCCAATGTGTGAGTCATCTTGAGGGCATTGAGACGTGGATTAGTAGAAGTCTTGTTGTCATTAAGATTTCTGATAACTTAGTGATTTCTCTTTTATTTGTTCTCATTGATATCTAGAAATTAAGTTTCCGTTGTTATTGTGATCTTGTACTTGTATATTTTCTCCTACAAGTGATATTAGAGTATTGATTTAATTATTTCTAGATTTACTATGACCTCTAAGGTGCATATTGACATCTAGAAGTTAGATAAGTCTTCTAACTCTAATCTTTAGAAACATTGTGTGTATGATGTGTTGTTGCAAGCTGACTTGTATAAGACTTTGGATGGTCCAAAGTCAAATAAGATCAGTATTGATGATTGAGAAATAATAGAGAAGAATGTTGGAGGTTTTATTTGTACATGTTTGTCTGATTAGGCTTTTCGACAAATCATAGATAAATACAATCTAAAGAAACTCTAGAAGAAAAAAGAGAAATAATATGCACCTAAGTTGATGAGTAAATTGACATTGAAAAGAAAGCTATTTGAGTTATACATGTTAGATGGAGATGATTTAACATCTCATATTAATTATTTTAATCAATTACTGAATAACTTATTTCATATAGAATCAAATTTTTCTAATGAAAACAAAGTTATTATTTTGCTTGTTTCTCTTCCTAATTCATATGATTGCCTTATTACGACCTTGTTGCATGGTAGTATAACATCCGTTTTTAAAGATGTGACTCATTGATAGAGTATTATCATCAAAAGAAAGATGTTGGTAAGGCTTGTGATGAAAGTTTATATGTGAAGAGTAGAAGAGAACGTAGAAGGCAGAAGAAGAAAGGATTATTAGGAGACAAGAAGAGACGATTCAAGTTACAAATAAATTAATTGAAAAACCAAACTTGTCACAAGTGTTATGAGAAAGGACACTTGTGACGAGATTGTCTGAAGAACTAAAGTGATAAGACAACAAAAGGTGAATCTAGTTCGACTAATGTTGTAAAAGTTGAGAACAGAGTAGATGTTGAAGTTTATTCTGGACTTATTGCAATTGAGGAGTTGTCGAATATATAGATTCTTGATATTGGTTGTTCTTATTATATGTCTTAACACTGATTGGTTTGACTCATACAAGAGTTCAACAAAAGTTATTTTTTTAAGAAATAATGCAACTTATGAAGTTATAGACATTGGTTCAATGAAAGTTCGGATGTTTGATAAAATGGTCTGAGAGCCTGGAAATGTTCATTATATTCTAGCATTACACTAAAATTTGATTTCACTTGGAGTATTAGAGATGAATAGATGTTGCTTCAAATGAGAGAATGAGATTCTCAAAATTATAAAGAGATCACTCGTTATGATGAAGGGAAGACGTCAACAAGCAAATATTTATAAACTTGATAGAAGTATTATTGTAAGAGAAGCTTGTATTACAACACTAGATGATTCTATGATTAATAACATATTTTTATGACACTTGTGATTGGCTCATATGAGTGAGACAAATAT